ACAAATAATGGTAATAATTTCTATTATGAATTGTTAACATAAGAAAGTGAACTTTGCCAAAATACGTCACAAATCTAACTAATAAATAATCTTGTTTAACGTATTACAAGATAGTCGAAACATAGTCGAAACATAGTCGAAACATAGTCGAAACACAGTTGAAACCAGTTCAATTCAGAGTTACTTCAACAATCAATCAATTACTAAATCTTCTATATTATCAATTTTACTAAATCTTCTACTACATCAAGTTATACTAAATTAATAATTATTGGTAACTTCGATTTTAAGTTAGTGTTAAGAAATAACTGTAAAGAAAATAAATAAAGTAGTGCTACCAACAACAGTTTCAATTCTCTGCTGATAACCAGAAGTCCATTACAAGAAAATAAAATTGGTGTCAGGAGTGGGATTTCAAGAGTTGCGAGGTCGTGGATATCGGAAGCTAGGAAACAACCCCTTCAACAAGCCACAAGCACTGGAATCTTTGAAGGTACCTCCTCTTTCTCTTTGTGACCACTACAAGATTTCTCGTAACTACGGAAAGAAGGAACGGCCGTGGTCAACCCAAATAATTGGACCAAAAGAAACCTCAACGGGAATTCTGGAAGAGAATGCTGGTAACGTTGGTGCTACTATTGTGAGTACAAATTCTATTTTCGAAATTGTGTGATGCCTAATTTGTATCCGGAGCTACCTACACCATCAGAAATGCCTGCTAACGTCGAAACAAACTCTGCTCAAATTAGTATATCTTTAGAATTAGCTGAAAAAATGCTCATAAAGTTTGATGGTTCAAAGTCAAAATTGCATGAGTTCATCGATAATTGTGACAAAGCTGTCTCTTTAGTTAAACCTGAATATAAAAACATTCTTTTCGCAATAATAGAAACTAAAATAACAGATAACGCTAGGGCATTAATTAGAAATAGAACTTTTAATGATTGGATAACTCTAAAAAATCACCTTTTAGACGCTTATTCAGAGAAAAGAACTATTAGTCAATGGCAGTTGGAGCTTAACAGTTGCAAACAGAATACAAATGAAAACGTAATGTCTTATGCTAATAAAGTTGAGAATTGCTACATTAAGTTAATAAATTCGCTAGATCAAAATCTTTCTAGGGAAGCTAGGGAAGCATGCGTCAATCTCTTAAAGAATCAAGCACTAAATGTTTTTGTCACAGGGTTACAGAATAACCTTTCTATAATTGTTAAATCTCTAAAACCAGAATCATTAGAGGACGCAATAGCGTTCGCATTAAATGAAGAACAGGAACAAAAATCGAGATTAGAGATCCAAAAATACCAAAATGTTCATAATAATATAGCTAAGTTGTGTAGTTTCTGTAATAAAAGTGGACACTCTAGTTTTAATTGTCATTTTAATAAAAATAATAGTCATAGACAACATAACGTTAGGCATATTCAAAATTCTAATCCACAAAGGCCTAATAATTCATCTTTCCAAACCAATTCAAAATTTTCATCGAGTAAACCGATACAAAATAAAGTATGTTCATACTGTAAGAATATTGGACACTTGATAGGTGAATGTAGAAAAAGGGAGTATAACAACAGAATGCGGAATAATAATTTAAGTAAAACTCATTATCCTGGTCCTAGTAATTCTCAAACTCATAACTGTAATTCTTTAAACTCTCAAGTGCCTCGTCAGTCGGCCGGGATGAGATTAGCACAGACATTTCAGGTCGAACAGAATACCCAGGGCTCTTCAAATCGTCTATAGCCAGCATTTCGTCAATTAATTTAGAATCTGTAGTCTCATTCGTAAACTTAAAAGCCAAACAATTAAAANCAATAAAAAGACGATAATACATGCAAATAGACTGAAAAGAGCTCTTGTTGCAGGGTCCCAATAGGACAACTGTCAGCAGATGCACTTTATAATGTTACAGAAATTCCAAATTCAGCCGGGATTTATTACGAACACATAAGTAAATTGCGTTTCATAGAAAATCGATGGGATCTCATTTCATATTTGAATATAAATATTTTAAAGAACAAGTTAGCATTAGTTGAAAATACATACTTTAGAACACATAATTTGTGTCAATTGCAACCATATCATAATTTTTCTTTATGTCAAAATTCTTTGAAAATTCTTGCTCAGAAAATTCCACAATTACAATCAAAGGATGCAAGTCTACACGAAATTCTACATCAAAATAAAAGAGTAAAACGTGCATGGTTTGGTGGTATAGGCACTGTATTTAAAACCATATTCGGAACATTGGATCAGAATGATGCTGAATATTACGATGCCGCTATTCACGCTGTAACGAATGATGAAAAAGAATTCTCTAAGCTTATAAAAGAACAAGCGCAAGTTGTCAAGTCTACGATAGTTAACTTTAATAGTACCATAACTAATTTAGAAGTAAATGAAAAAATATTTAGTCAAAATTTCGATGCACTTTACAATTATTCCCGCGAGATAAATAAAAATTATTTTAACCTGCAGATGAAACAATCGATAGAAGAACACTTAAGTCTTTTAATTCTTCTAACATCAGAACTATATAACGAATATTCGACATTAATTAACGCAGTCCTCTTAGCTAAAACAAATCTTTTACATCCTACTATAATCACCCCATTGCATACGCAAGTAGAACCTTGAATCGAGCTGAAAGCAATTACTCAGTAACGGAACGTGAATTGTTATCAATCGTTTGGAGCGTAAAACATTTTCGGCCGTATCTTTATGGTCGACATTTTAAAATATATTCCGACCACAAACCATTGAAGTGGTTATTCAATGTAAAAGATCCGGGATCTAGGTTAGTCAGATGGCGTTTGTTATTAGAAGAATATGATTTCGAGATTCTTTACAAACCAGGAAGGACTAATCACAATGCCGACGCTCTTAGTAGAATAAAATTAGATGAAAATTCAACTGTTCAAATTAATACTATTTCAAAAGATGTGGAGGAAGACAATACTTACTCAAAATTTTTAGAAAAATGTAGAACTACTGTGATAACATGTAATAATTTAACTGAAATCAATGAAAACATTTGTTCTGCACAAACAGATATTGCAATTACCTTAGCTCTAGATTTAGAAATTGTAAATAATACACAAAAAGATATATTTACTCGCTTTTCTAATCATTTAGACTATTTAAAATCACAAAATATTGAACTTAATAAAATTTATTCTTTAAAAGCTAATGATAAACAGACCATTCATTATCTGATAAACAAAGAAAACTATTGGGATAAAGCTAACTATGAAAATATGTTTATTATGCTAAATAAATTAAAAAACGTTTTAGAAAATAGCAAATGTAATAAAATAGCCTTAAGTAGGATAGGAGATGGTTACGATCGTCTTCACTGGAATAAAGTTCGTTCATTTATAAGATTTATATTTCGTAATACAAAAATTGATATAACTATTTTTCATAACACCTTAGTTGAACCTAAAAAGGAAGAAATTAGTGAAATTTTAAAAGAAAATCATGTCAACCCTACGTCAGGTCATTCAGGTTTCCACAGGACATATCAACGGGTCAAACAAAATTATCGTTGGCATAATATGAAAAAGGACGTAAAAGATTTTATCAAATACTGTGAAGATTGTCAGCGTAATAAGTTGGTTAGACACAAAATTAAAAAACCTATGGAAATTACCACTACCTCAGATAAACCTTTTCAGAAAATATTTCTGGATATCGTAGGTCCCTTAACCCTCACCGAAAAAGGTAACAGGTACATTTTAACCCTACAGGATGACCTTACCAAATTTTCACAAGCCTATAGCATACCTAATCACGAAGCTGAGACAATAGCTAGAATTTTTGTTCAAAATTTTATTTGTAAATTTGGAAGTCCCGAGTCTATTTTAACAGATCAAGGTAAAGACTTTACTTCAAAATTATTAAAAGAAGTAGCAAAATTATTTAAAATTAAGCAAATGCACAGTTCTGTTTACCATCCTCAAACCAATGGAGCTTTAGAGAGAAGTCACGCGACCTTGGCGGAATATTTGAGACATTATGTCAACAAAGATCAAACCGATTGGGACGATTGGTTAGACTTCGCAATGTTTTCTTACAATACCACTGTTCATACATCAACAAAATTCACACCCCATGAATTAGTCTTCGGTTTCAAAGCGACAATCCCTTCTAATTTATTAAAAACCCCTGAATTTAAATATACTTACAATGATTATTTAGACGAACTCAAACTCAAAATTCAAAAAAGTAACCAATTAGCTCGAGAACATTCAATACAGGCTAAGGAAATTAATAAAAAATATTACGACAGGAAATTAAATGAAATAGATCTTAGAGTAGGCGAAATGGTCTTTGTTCGAAACGAACAAAATAAACTAGGAAAATCAAAAAAACTTACGGCGACATACAATGGTCCTTACAAAATAATAAAAATTAATTCTCCTGTAAATTATACTGTACTAATAAACAATAAAAAGACGATAATACATGCAAATAGACTGAAAAGAGCTCTTGTTGCAGGGTCCCAATAGGACAACTGTCAGCAGATGCACTTTATAATGTTACAGAAATTCCAAATTCAGCCGGGATTTATTACGAACACATAAGTAAATTGCGTTTCATAGAAAATCGATGGGATCTCATTTCATATTTGAATATAAATATTTTAAAGAACAAGTTAGCATTAGTTGAAAATACATACTTTAGAACACATAATTTGTGTCAATTGCAACCATATCATAATTTTTCTTTATGTCAAAATTCTTTGAAAATTCTTGCTCAGAAAATTCCACAATTACAATCAAAGGATGCAAGTCTACACGAAATTCTACATCAAAATAAAAGAGTAAAACGTGCATGGTTTGGTGGTATAGGCACTGTATTTAAAACCATATTCGGAACATTGGATCAGAATGATGCTGAATATTACGATGCCGCTATTCACGCTGTAACGAATGATGAAAAAGAATTCTCTAAGCTTATAAAAGAACAAGCGCAAGTTGTCAAGTCTACGATAGTTAACTTTAATAGTACCATAACTAATTTAGAAGTAAATGAAAAAATATTTAGTCAAAATTTCGATGCACTTTACAATTATTCCCGCGAGATAAATAAAAATTATTTTAACCTGCAGATGAAACTATCGATAGAAGAACACTTAAGTCTTTTAATTCTTCTAACATCAGAACTATATAACGAATATTCGACATTAATTAACGCAGTCCTCTTAGCTAAAACAAATCTTTTACATCCTACTATAATCACACCTGAACAATACGTTACTGAATTATCTAAAACCCTTTCTTTCTTACCAACTCATTCCACTTATCCAGTTCCCATTGAATTAACAAATGTTCATGAATTATTATCGTTAATTGAACTAAAGGTATTCTTCACAGGAAGTAGGCTAGTATTTGTCATATCTAACCCTCTGGTTAATCAAAATTATTTCAACTTATACCATTTGGTACCTTTGTTAGTTAAACTACATAATTCTAGTCACATCTTCATTTACCCTAGTGTCAAATACCTTGCAGTATCAGAAAACAAAATTAATTATGCGTTACCTGAAAACTTAAATGATTGTAAAAGGTTAAGTAACCAAAATTACATATGTCCTTCAGACCAAGCTATTTACTCTGTATACGCTAGACCTATCTGTGAGACAGAGTTATTACAAAAATTAGATAAATTACCGAAAGATTGCGATACTAGAGTCACTTCATTACATTCAGAAATATGGCACAAATTACATGAATCCAACAAATGGCTATATATTTTACCAAGAACGACCGATATTACCTTAACTTGTAAGAATCATTTACCGACAACTATTTATCTTTCTAATTCAGGTATAATTTCGTTAAGTAAACAATGTAAATTATATACTAGTAATACTATTTTAATAGCCAATAACCCCTCATACTTTAGCGAATATCAATCTTTTATTCCTGAATTTGATCTTCAAGAGTCAGATTGTTGTTCAAAAGAAAAACTTAATAAATCAGAAAACATCAAAATTTTACCTTTTCAATCGAATAAACTAGATAGAGAAAGTCTTAACGTAGCAAGCCTCAAACTTGATCAAATAAGCAAAACTACAGATGACTTACTTTCTCAAGAACCTTTTTATAAATCATTAACATCTAATGGATACTTCTTATATTCTATGTTTGCAATTGTCAAATTACTTTTTGTATATTTAGTTTTTAAGTTGTTATTTAGATTAAGACGTAGATGTAAAAAGAATTGTAAAGATAATCATGATTATTCCAAATGTACTAATTTTACGAATTGTTTAACTTTAAACTTATATAAGAAGAAAAACGAAACAAAAACAATATCTATTGAACTTGATGAAACAAACATTGATCATTCAGTAAGTGACGTAGAAATACCTTTACGTAGAAGTGCAAGGATTGCTAAACTGAAAGATGCACCTTGATCTTCCAGTTTCTTAAGGGGGGAGGTGTAATGTACCTACCCATAACAATTATAACACTCTGTATATATAACTTTAATAATCTATCAAATTGTTGTTAACAGTTCTGTTTACCATCCTCAAACCAATGGAGCTTTAGAGAGAAGTCACGCGACCTTGGCGGAATATTTGAGACATTATGTCAACAAAGATCAAACCGATTGGGACGATTGGTTAGACTTCGCAATGTTTTCTTACAATACCACTGTTCATACATCAACAAAATTCACACCCCATGAATTAGTCTTCGGTTTCAAAGCGACAATCCCTTCTAATTTATTAAAAACCCCTGAATTTAAATATACTTACAATGATTATTTAGACGAACTCAAACTCAAAATTCAAAAAAGTAACCAATTAGCTCGAGAACATTCAATACAGGCTAAGGAAATTAATAAAAAATATTACGACAGGAAATTAAATGAAATAGATCTTAGAGTAGGCGAAATGGTCTTTGTTCGAAACGAACAAAATAAACTAGGAAAATCAAAGAAACTTACGGCGACATACAATGGTCCTTACAAAATAATAAAAATTAATTCTCCTGTAAATTATACTGTACTAATAAACAATAAAAAGACGATAATACATGCAAATAGACTGAAAAGAGCTCTTGTTGCAGGGTCCCAATAGGACAACTGTCAGCAGATGCACTTTATAATGTTACAGAAATTCCAAATTCAGCCGGGATTTATTACGAACACATAAGTAAATTGCGTTTCATAGAAAAGAACCTTTAGAAATATCAAATAACAATAATAGTTGTCAAATAAATAAGATAGAGATAGGATCTGCCAATTCAAAATCGAGCAGGATAGAACAAATTAAGAAAACTATTCGTACCTCACATATGAACGAAGAAGAAAAGCGAGCTATTACTGATTTATGTTGTGAATTTAACGATCTATTTTTTTTGGAGGGTGATCAATTAACATTTACAGATGCTATTATGCATGAAATTCATACCACTAGTGAAATCCCTATTAATACTAAGCCTTACCGATACCCTGAAGCTCTTAAAGATGAAGTAGATAGGCAAATTAATAAAATGTTAGAACAAAAAATAATCGAACCATCCAATTCTCCGTGGAACAGCCCCGTATGGATAGTTCCTAAAAAGTTAGATTATTCCGAGAAAAAGAAATGGCGTGTAGTTATCGATTACCGTAAACTAAATTCTATAACAGTAGGTGACAGCTATCCATTACCAAATATTACAGAAATTCTAGACCAGTTAGGGCACTCCAAATACTTTTCTACTATCGATTTAGCGTCCGGGTTCCACCAAATAAAGATGAACCCTAAAGATAAGGATAAAACAGCGTTTTCTACTTCTTCAGGTCATTATTGTTNATTACTTTTTGTATATTTAGTTTTTAAGTTGTTATTTAGATTAAGACGTAGATGTAAAAAGAATTGTAAAGATAATCATGATTATTCCAAATGTACTAATTTTACGAATTGTTTAACTTTAAACTTATATAAGAAGAAAAACGAAACAAAAACAATATCTATTGAACTTGATGAAACAAACATTGATCATTCAGTAAGTGACGTAGAAATACCTTTACGTAGAAGTGCAAGGATTGCTAAACTGAAAGATGCACCTTGATCTTCCAGTTTCTTAAGAGGGGAGGTGTAATGTACCTACCCATAACAATTATAACACTCTGTATGTATAACTTTAATAATCTATCAAATTGTTGTTAAATATTGGTAAGGAAATGAGTAGACAATTATTTACTGTATTTCATAGTTATCATTATTAATATTAGATAAAACTGCAATTAACATAATAGATAATGTCCAGACTTTCTAAATGTTTGAAGATGATAATCACGATTCTCTTGAGAAACACAAATAATGGTAATAATTTCTATTATGAATTGTTAACATAAGAAAGTGAACTTTGCCAAAATACGTCACAAATCTAACTAATAAATTATCTTGTTCAACGTAGTACAAGACAGTTGAAACCAGTTCAATTCAGAGTTACTTCAACAATCAATCAATTACTAAATCTTCTATTTTATCAATTTTACTAAATCTTCTACTACATCAAGTTTATACTAAATTAATAATTATTGGTAACTTCGATTTTAAGTTAGTGTTAAGAAATAACTGTAAAGAAAATAAATAAAGTAGTGCTACCAACAACAGTTTCAATTCTCTGCTGATAACCAGAAGTCCATTACAATCGTAAGTGATTTTATGGCGTAGGCAGCTACATTTCTGTTTACAATAATACTCCTCAGGTCCGAAATTTCGTTAAATTGGTTGCTCATATGTGATGCGATCTCAATCATTTATTTTTGTTTGATGCTTCACACGTTACTCATTTTATTCCTTATAAATTTTTACTTTATTTTAAAAAAAATTAACAAAAAGCAGTGTTTCTATATATTCTTTTCTGTATAATTTCTAATTTTACGACTAGTTTTAAGTGTTCGTATCTATTTCATTCTTTTCATGGTTTCTGCCATTAAGGTCTTCTGTATTATATTTCCATTACTAGCAGACATTCTCTTAGAGTTAAGTTGTATATTTTTGGGTAGTTGATAGATTTATTAGGGGTAATTGATTTGGACCACCAGTCCAGTTTTGGGTCTTCAACGATTCATCGATAAGTGGATCGCACATGTTCTGCTTTGCCTTGTTTTGTTTTTGCTCTCCTTTTCGAGTACCGGTGCATCGGTTGGGTGATATTTAAGTTTTTCATTTTCGTAGAATTCATATATATTATAATACAGAGATAGATAGATACATACAACATAAAGCACCAAAATACATATTCAGATCTTGTTACTGTAAATTCTGATAGTTTTATTATATTCTCAGGGCCTAATTCTTGAGTGTCGAGTGAAATGGTTTATGATATAGAATAGATGATTACTAATATTACCATCTCCGAATAGGAATGTCTATACTCTATTTTAGATAAAATGTTGAATGATTGTTTGTTAATATGTTTTGTGATAATAATTTTATCTGCTTCTATTGTCATTAAAATGAATTTTCAAAATGATTTTAGCTAGAATGTTTTATTCTTATGCGTTTATTTGAATAATAATCCGAATGTTTATCATTATTGTAAGGTGATTATTTTATGAAAATATTACAAATATTATACGGTTACTTCAATCCCAAGCAGGGCATGACAGAATCCATGTCTGGGCCACGATTGGGATACTACACTTTTTACTCAAGACCAAATCAATATTAATTTATAACCCTCTACTATTATTATGTTTAACAAAAACAATGGTTATTTCACACTTTTTGAAAATATGAATTTAGGACAAGATTTTATTTAAATTTTTATAGTTAATCAATATTTCTTTATATAACTACCACCTAATGTACACTGAATTTATTTAATTTACATTAATATTAAAATGGCCAAAGAATGATAAACAAAGTGAATCGGCCCCAGAGAGATATGTAAATAATTTTTTGAGGGTATATTGAGTTACGTTAATCCTGAACATTTTTAACTTCTATTTATTTTTGGTTTTGAATAAATCTAAAAAGTGGAAAATCAGAAAAAAAAATCTCAACAACGGCTTAACCGTACCCTCTTTGTGTAGTCTAAGTCCAAAATATAAACTGTTAACTGTTGACAAAATTTAGTTACTGAGCTTTTTAATACGTCGCTATGGAGTCGTTCCCAATTGTCGGATATCGCACTATTATTTTATATAACTTTCGTCGCGGATATAAGATTGTCCGTCGTTAAGAACCACTGAGAGATGGTATTTAAATTTTAAACGTGGACTGTTTAATTTAGAAGACGATCCTCGTTCAGGCCGGTCGACAGAAATCTTGACCGAAAAAAACATTGAACTTGTGAGAAAAGCTATAACCAAAGATAGACGAATCACTTATAAACAATTAGCTGAAACCCTGAAGATCTCCGAACGAAGTATTGGAAGAATTATATCGAACCATTTAAATGTTAGAAAACTTTGTACCCTGTGGATACCCCACGAGCTGACCGACGCTCAACGGGAGGAACGCGTAATTTGGTGCAAAAAAATGTTAAATGACTTCGAATCGGGAGAACACAGTGCTGTAAATTCAATCGTTACAGGTGATGAAAGCTGGCTGTATTTTTTTGATGTACCATCGAAATCACAGAACAAGGTTTGGGTCTTCGAAGGTGAAGATCAACCGATACAAGTGAAAAAATCACGTTCGGTCGGAAAAAGAATGATGGTGTCTTTTTTTTCGTAAAACGGGTTTAGTAGCCAATGTTGTGCTAGATAAGCTGAAGACAGTCACAGCTCGTTGGTATACTGAAGTTTGTTTGCCACAGTTATTTACAGCGTTGAAAAATCTCAGACCAAAGTCTCCTTTGCGCTCATGGTACCTTCATATCGACAACGATCCAGCGCATCGTGCTCAGCTAACTCAACAGACTTTTCAAGAAACTAGAATCCAAGTATTGGACCATCCACCTTGCAGTCCTGACTTGGCACCATGCGACTTTGGTTCTTTTCCATTTGCAAAATCACAACTAAAAGGACGTAAATATGCTTCGGAGGAAGAGTAAATCGAAGCCTGGGAAACAATATGTGATTCCATTGAAAAAGAAAAATGGGAGCATTGGTTTGATGACTGGTTCTTGCGTATGGGAAAGTGTATCGAGTGTGGTGGAAAGTATTTCGAGAAACAATAAATACTTTTGTCATACGACAAGACTTATGCCGTGACCTACGTACAAACGAAAGTAGCTGTAAGTGTTTCTGTTATAAAAATAGTGGATTTATCAAGTTGTTTCATTTGATCACGCTTTTCCAGGAATGGGTCACTACCACTGATTTTAATGATATTTCGTATGATTCAAATAATATTACTAATACGTTTGTTGATAACATACTAAAAGATCTTCTTAATGACGATAATTTAGACAATGAGGATTCTCATAACCTAATACAAACTTCTGCTTCTGAATTAAATACTTCTCAAGACATAGTGTATTCCCAACTCACGCCGTTAAGTCCATTTTTGAGAAATAACTTCCCAACTCAAACTGCGGTCGTTTCTGAATC